AGTTTAAGAGCTATTATTTCATGTAATCCCAATGGTAAAAAGGTGAAAATTCAAACGTCTATAGACAAAGCCTTTACTGTTGTGTTTCTGTTCTCTTGAGTCCACAAGATGGCGTCAAAGTCAGTTCTTTGTATGGCCACCATTGGCAGCAATTACTGCTCGGCACCGTCTCGGCACAGACTGGATAAGTTGACGAAGTAGCTATTATCATCATCGTAGGCGACTTCAATTTCCATTTTGACAACAAGGATAACCATGACACTAAACGAATAATTAATCTTCTTGAAGTCCACAACTGTGTACAACTCGTGTCAGAGGCAAGCCACAGAGGTGGACACACTCTGGACTGGATAGTTACCCGTGATTCAGACGCGTGTGTCAGTTGTGTACCTGTATAGGATCTACAGCTCTCTGACCATTTCCATATATTTGTGAGCTTGGACCTCTCAATACCCAGTCCAAATGTGAAGATTACTCGCTGTAGGAACATGCGCTCCCTGGATATGGATACTTTTAAAGACAATTTGCTAAACTCAGACCTTATACTTGAGCCACCATCTGATGCTGAGAGTCTCGTTCTGCTATACAATAGAGTTCTATCTGAGCTGCTATATAGACAAACATGCACCAGTGAAGGACAGAGTCATACCAGTCACTAAAACATCTGCTTGGGACTTCACACCTGAAGTTCGACAAGCGAAAAAGACAAGAGGAAAGCAGAACGCAGATGGAAAACAATCTTTCCTGGAGATTCATCTCCAAATGCATATTTCAGCCAAAAATCACTCAACAACGGTCATCAGACAAATCAACATCTCAATTCTAAGATTGAAGCCAACGAGTCAAGTCCAAAGTTGCTGTTCAAACTTTTGTTCAGTATCTTGAGTAAACACTTTGAATCGACACTTCCGACATCTGATGACAATGAAGTAATAGCACAGACATTTTCGGATTATTTCTACAAAAAGATCCAAGAACATTCATGACAAGATTTCGTCTTCTGCGGCTATGGATGAAGCTGATATTCCTCCAAAAATGTTTGATGGCACGCCTCTTACTCATATTGATAGTTTCACTGATATTTACCAACATTAGTGCTGATTATTAACTCTTCTACTTCATCTGGTTATGCCCCAAGTGTACTCAAGTCAGCTCTAGTTAGGCCACATCTGAAGAAATCAAGCCTTGATTAGGAGGATCCAAAAAACTACAGGCCTGTTTCAAACTTAGCATATATATCCAAACTCATTGAACGTGCAGTCTCCAGTCGTCTCATGGGCCACCTTTCCTGGCATAACCTCTATGAGGTGTTCCTATCAGCCTGCAGAGCACACCACAGCACAGAGACGGCCCTGCTGAAGATCCCGAATGACCTACGATGTGGTATTGACACAGGACAAGTGGCCCTGCTCACATTACTTGGCCTAAGCAGTGCCTTTGACACGACTGATCACCAGAGACTCCTCAAAAGACTTGATACAGAACTTGGATTCAGCTTTATCCTGGCTGGCATCTTATCTACAGGACAGGACTCAAACCGTTGTTGTTGGTGAGTCTGTGTCAACCGCATCTAGGCTTGAGTGCGGAGTCCCTCAAGGATCCGTGCTTGGTCCGATCCTCTTCACCCTCTACACTGTTCCACTTGGCTTTGTTGTAGCAAACCTTAATCTTGACCACTTCTACGCAGATGACACGCAGCTGTGGAAGTTATTTCAACCAAACACAGAGTCAGCTATAGAGCGTCTCTCTGTCAGACATCAGACTGTTGCCAGAAGATATTCATGGATGTCATCAAATGCCTTGAAATTAAATTAAGAGAAAACAGAGTCCATTCTTTTGGGACAGGCTGGAAAACGCAAGCAGTGTGACATTACTAGTGTGTGTGTCTGTGGAGCAACCATTCCTCTTTCTTCCACTGTCAACGATCTGGATGTTGTCATCGATCAAGATCTAAGTATGACAGAACACGTCAAATATGTTACTAAAACTTGCTACTCCCATCTCCACAATATCAAAGGCCAGACCGTTCTTACCAAAGATGCCTCAAAAACTCTCTGCCTCAGCCTAGTCACATCTCGTATGGACTACTGTAACAGCCTTTTGGCCGGATCTCCATCTTGTGTCACTGACCAACTCCAATGCATACAGAATTTAGCTGCTCGCATTACCTCCCAGATCACCAGAAAAAAGCACATCACACCAACTCTAAAGGACCTTCATTGGCTGCCCGTGAAACAAAGAATCTCCTTCAAACTATTCTGTCTCGCATACCAGTGCATGACTAACACGGCTCCAGTCTAACTCTCAGATCTTCTTCAGGCTTATGCACCATCTAGATCTCTCAGATCAGGGAATCAACACCTTCTTGTTATCCCCAAAGTCAAACAAGCTAAATATGGACACCGTGTCTTCTCCTATCCTGCTGATAAAAAAATTTCTCCCCACATTTATTTGTATATGGGTTTTTTCAAAGATTATAACCATTTTAGAAAGTTATTCGATCTGATGACTTGAAAATTATTTCAAGGGATTTAATTGAGAGAGTGTGAAGCAGAAAATAGTGTTTTCTCCCCATCATTTCATTATATTCTTATCTATTTTCAAAGAACTCTGCTTTTAGAAGAAAAACTTCAAGCGTAATAATAAGAAATTGATAAATCATAATCTGATATTGACATACTACATTTTGAAATAAGGACTGCTCCCTTACTGACAGTCTCACCAAACAAAAATAAACATCTCTTTTTTGTTTCATACATAACTGTTCTTTAATAACTTGATTTACATTGAGTTGATGAAATGAAGCAATCATATACTTACAAAATGCACAAAACCTACATCTGCTTAAATTCGTCTGCTAGCTGCCATTTTGAGAGAGGGAGTGTTCATTATATATATTTTTTTAATTTAAAAAAAAATATATTTTGGGGTTTTCTTTTAATTAAATATTTCATGAAATAGAGAAACACACTTGGATAAAGTTAATAACCTCAAATTTTAAATATTCAACTCTCCCATTATGACCTTCTGCCCTTTTAGCAACCTTTTCCACAACCACTTTGTGCCAGTGCTCAAAAGTACTATTTGCACCATATTTCAGCTTGGAACCAAACTTTTTATTTAACTAGCATGTCTGATGAATACAAAAAACACAATGTCTTGCTTTCATCACAAAACTTCCACGGGACTTGAATTCTGTACCCATCCTACCAGACTATAATGGCATATCACAATTGGAATGCGACTCAACATCACTTAGAACATCTGTTTCATTGACACAAAGTAAGGATAAAAAAGTGATTGAGCCACTGTTGACAACAAACAGAGGCAGATATATTACTAGACATTTTATACTGTTTGAGTAATTTCCAAAACTGCTTAGGATCATTGCTGGCTTCAACAAGTTTTTGTCTCTGTGTATACATGTAATTATCCCTCTTGATACTGAATGTCTTCTTGAACAGATTACAAAGTTGTCTAAATATATCCAGATCTTGATTATTATCTCTATGAGCTCTAAGTGCAGAATATTTATCATGTTTTAATTGTTCCAACTCTTCATCCCACCAAGGAGGTTGAGATTTATCACTAGAACTCATGTTATGTCTGTTGTGATACACAGTGCTGGTATGCGCTGCTGCTTCCTGGAATACACTGGTAAATAAATGTTCTGCTTCATTGATGTCTGTATATACGAGATCGTTCAATGTATCAAGGGTATCCATGAATGATTTAGTGAAATTATTCAAAAATTCATTGTTGGAGTCTTCAAAAAACACATATCTAACCCAGTTACCGTCTTCTTTATTCTGTTGGGTATCACTCTGTTGTGCAGAGACGGTAGGTTGAGCATGGAACAGAGTAGATGGAATATTGAGGCTGCAGTACAGAGGGAAATGACAGGAAAGGTCCAGAGTTCCGATTCCGAAGTCAGTCACATGAGGAAATAGTGATGAGCTAGCTAACATATAATCAACAACACTTGACCCATTATGAGTGACACAGGTAAATTCACCAGACTTATCATGATGCATTCGTCCATTTAATGTATGGATTCCAAATGTGCGACATAACTCGGACAATTTTATACCATACTTGTTGTGAGCCTGAGAGTCTTTAGTGGATCTAGGAATATCAAAATTATCACTAGGATAGGTCATCAGCATCATACACACAGTCTATGATGTCATCAGGTATATAATCTAGAAACTGCTTCTTCCTGGAATTAAAATCACCTGACAGGAGAACATGCTCCTCTGGGTAGTCAGATCTGATAGTGGAAATATACTCTTCGAGGATAGATATACAATCGTTATCAATCTCATCATAGATAGGTGAATTCTCGGGTGAAACATACTTGAATATTAATATAGTGTCCCTGTCCCATGTTAATCTTGAAGTATGAAACAAAAGAACAACACAGTCAGCAAACGTGTATGATTTCTGTGCACTTAAGACCATTGTAGGTTTAAGGGCACAACAAACGTGTCATACAAACGATGAATGAAACCATTCACAATAAGGGCTGACTTGATGAAGACTCTCACACCGCAACTGTAGCGACCAAAACGTTTTGCCTTCTGACGAACACTGTTGAAGACATTGTAACCAGGCAAGAAATCGCTGAACTCACCCGATGCACGCACAAATGATTCCAGAAAGCCGATCACATCAAACTTGGTGCAGAATGACTTTAGAGGAGAAACGCCATTGTCAAATTTACGGAGACCTTCATCAATGTTCCATGATAAAAAAACTTACATTGTCAGTTTGATTGTAAACAATCGAGCCTGGGCCTTCCCCTCATGTGTTGTTTGGAGTAGCCTCCCTTGATGTTTTGCTTCCGGGTTCGTCAACATTGAACCACGTGGTCTGGCTGTCACTGCACTGCTGTAACTTGTGGGCGATGTTCCATGCTATCCGGACGATGAGTTGAAGTTACGTGAGACACAAACAATATCCTTCTTCTCGGAGTCGTAAACATACACAGAGCCATCGATAATTAACTTGTTCTGCCTCATCTTCACCCTTTTATTAGCGTTGCGAGCCTCAACAAACCAAGGTGACAGGGCTCTCCTGTCCTCTCGAACTCGTCGTGAGAAATCCTCCGTGACACGCTGATTGCTACCTCGTCGTAGTTTCTCACGAGCACGCATGAACACATTACTTTTATCTGTACTTTTCATGAACTTCGCTATTACAGGCGATTGTTGATTCCGAGGGTTTAGTCGATGCGCTCTCACAATAACAATGTTACTCACGTCCATATCAAGCGTGTCAGGTTAGAAATGTCCGCACTGTATTTTCCGACTGTTCCCATGTTCGCCGGAGTTACCACCGAGTCCATAAAATATGAGATTTTCCCGACGACTTCTTGATTCAAGATCATCTATCTTGTCTTCCAGATCTTTAACTTGTGAAGTTAACTTGACATTTTCTGATCGCAACTGGGCGTGTCGGTCGCCATGTTGTCAACTTTTGTGTGAAGCGATTCAAAGTTTTTGTCCATGTCACATTTTAGTTCAGAAAACATCAATTTCACAGCATCGTCACTAGTCTGACCGTGTTCAACCTGGAGGGAACCATCCTTACTAGTATGTAGAGTAGATTGGCGGGTATGAGGTCCTGGGTTCATCTCCACAGCTCCACTTGCCACTAGCAGCGAGCCGAGAAGGAGTAAAAGTCGTAAACACAGCGAAACTGAGCGTTGATCGACTGCAAGTCAATGGAAACTTCGTTTACTTGCATTTGGCTGTACAAACATGCCAAATTTAGCCCGATATTGGGCTAAGAAATTCCCATTTCGGAGCAGAGAAAAAAAAATCGTGGCTACACCATTTGACGCATGCGCACCAAGAGGGAACGTTTAATATATTCCTCTTGAATAACAATCAATATCAATATATTAACATACATTTAAATATTTTCAGCGCTTTAATTCAGTAAAACCCGTATAATAAGTAAGTCTGAATGCTTAAAAATTAAATTTCGATATCACTCTCTTGTTTCTTCAGGCACGCCCGGGGGCGGTGGGGTAGCCTAGTGGTTAAAGCGTTGGCTCGTCACGCCGAAGACCCGGGTTCGATTCCCCACATGGGCACAATGTGTTAAGCCCATTTCTGGTGTCCCCGCCGTGATATTGCTGGGAATATTGCTAAAAGCGGCGTAAAACTAAACTCAGTCAGTCAGTCAGTCAGGCACGCCCGATATGGTTATTCAGCCGAGGTTTTACATGTGTTAATTGCATAAACGTGTTATTATATTACTAATACTATTTCTAACATACCGGTAGAAAACTATGGAATCCGAGAAGGGACATTGTCATGTTTTCACCCTCTCAAAAACCAGCAAAATGAGGCAAAATTAACCAAAGCGCGACAATGCGACAACGCGACATTTCGGCCATTTGTCGCATTGACCCAATGTCGCATGTCGCGGTTTGAATAATATTTTTCTATTCCTCCAAAGGGCGACAATGCGACATAGCGACAATTTTCAAGGTCAAAATATCCCGTTGTCGCATTGTCAGACAGACAGACAGATAGACAGTTTTATTCAGTAAAAGGCCACTGGCCCATAATACAGTCAAATGCGTGATCACACATCACATGAATGGTACACAATGATTTATAAAAATGTTCTGCTCTTAATTCTAATTTGTACATTATATAAGAATAAAGAAACATTCTTAATCATATCGACATTTGCAGATTGCATAATATGGATAAAGTTGTTTGAATAATATTTTTCTATTCCTCCAAAGGGCGACAATGCGACATAGCGACAATTTTCAAGGTCAAAATATCCCGTTGTCGCATTGTCGCCCTACACATCTACAAAACATTTATCTTGTACACACTGGAGTGAGTCGCTCCCGTCCTTCTCTATCCCCAACTAAACTCCTTACAATATATTAAAAAAGCCATAGGTGCAAAGACTAGTACACCAAACAAAAAGGCACCCTTAAATTCAGAATAAACCCTTTAAAAACATCCCTATCCGGCCACATTATTACAGTGTAAACTCGATTATCCAGGACTTACTCACAATGTCAAGGCCACACACCGCACGTTTCACAACCAAAACATAAACATCGTGACCCTGTCTCCCCAGCCCTACTTTTAACATTTAACCCTCTTTCATCTATTTAGTAGACTCCTGATATATTAAGATATATTAAACTTTTTTATTTCTCTCATTGAGACCGTTTCCAGGTCCCTTCATCAGGTGAACTGATGAAGGACCTGGAATGGTCTCTGAAACGTTGTGAGAGAAATTAAAAAAGAAGTTTAATCCATAAAAAATATCTTGGCCATCAATGTACAACTTCTAAATGCCACTAAAAGACATCAGACTCCTTATTAGCTCATCAGCAACAGTTTAACTGCTCTGCACAATAAGTCACAATATACTTTACACCACTTACTTAGTTGAACTTATACGCAATCAACTTCCCAACCCTCTTACGGCCAACTTCTCACCTCCCCATCTAAACTAAATTATTTTCAGTATACAGGTGTTTTATGATACAGTGCTTTATTCCCCAAGTAATAATTTTATTACGTTTTTGTTAAACACACCTATCACGTCGGTCGATGACTTGTGGCACTGTCTCAAGTCGATAGTTGGGATATGGGGACAGACAGACATATAAGTATGTAGACCAGCCATTCTTGTAGAAGTATGGGAGACTATGGCACATACATTTAGAACAATACCTTTTTCACATAATAGTAGGAAATATATATGTGTGAAATATGCACACATAAAAGACGAGATGAAAGGCATAGGGTGTATGAAATTCCATCACTGATACAATAAAGCCCGACGGGGAGTTGGTTTGGTTGGTTTGTTGTTTAACACGGCACTGGAACACGATGTTACGGAGTATATTCTTATCCTTCATCAGGTGAATGAAGAGACAAGAAACTAGGAAACAGAAAGCTAAAGACGTACATTTGAAACAACAGTGATAAGATAACAAGGGGAAACCAGTACTTAATTAGCGCTAAATTGGTAGGGTGGATGGACAAATGGAAGCCAGGGATTGTTAATCCCGGCACGAATAATGAGGTAACAATGGTGGCATTTAACAAGGGAAATGACAATAAAGAAATGTAAGCCAGGAATTAATCCAAGCCTAATTAGTGATGTAACAATAAATTATATGATTGTTATCCTTTTTACAGACTTTTTAAGAGCACTCATATATTTCAACGAAAACACATTCGGTTTCTGGAGTTATTGTTGGATTATTGTTTGGACAAGTTAAAGGATTAATTAGCAAAATGCCACAGAATTTGAAAGCATGTTCATGTTGTTTCTATACGACTAAACCAAATGAAATAAAGCCTCCAGTTGGATTAAATCATACGCAGGTTAGACATCATGTGCAGACAGGGCAGAATTATGTGAAATATTGCTTTCTCCCTCTATCTATTTCTCCCTATATCGCTTTCTCCCTATATCACTTTCTCCCTATATCGCTTTCTCGCTTTCCCACTCTATCACTTTCTCGCATTGGTATATCGCTTTCTCGCTCTATCGCTTTGTCGCCTTGGTATATTGCTTTGTCGCTCTTTCGCTTTATCGTTTTCTCGTCTCGTGCTATCGCTTTCTCATCTCGTTTTATCGCTTTCTCGTCCTGCGTTATCGCTTTCTCGTCTCGTGCTATCGCTTTCTCGTCTCGTGTTATCACTTTCTCGTCTCGTGTTATCGGTTTTTCGTCTCGTGATATCGCTTTCTCGCTTTCTCGCCTCCGAATTTAAGGCGAGAAGGCGATGTCCCTAATCAGCCAACATACATTTCTGGTGTCCTCCGCCGTGATGTTCCTGGAATAATGCTAAAAGCGGCATAAAACCAAACTCAGTCAGTCAGTCAGTCAGTCTATGCAGACAAAACTTATCGGATATATGCATCGGATACTTGCACAACGGGAAAGGTAACGGCATTTGAATCATGGAGATTATCTAACTGGTATAAGTATCATCTGACTATGAAGCATTCTTCGTTTGGCAGTAGAATTATAACAATGCCATTCTTTTTTACTTTATCACTAGCATTAGTCTGTCAAAATGAATATTATTCACGCTTGAGAATGCAATAGAACATGACATGATATATGACATGCATTATTTCTAATGGCAAAAGGTATTCAAATAGATTTTATGGATTATGCATCACTACCGGAACTTGAGGTACACATTAATTACTTATGGATTTTCCAAGCTAATTTGGATGCATTTTAAGATTGTAATGCTTCTCGCTGAATCCACACAAAAAATGCTTCCATAAAATCACCCAATGAGCTTTGGTACATTTGGAGACATTTATACACGTTGGCTGTGTCTGTGTTTAGAACCTTGGGGAATCTTCCGAATGGTCCGAGTAGTCAAACTGGCAGTCTGGAATCGATTCCTTAGATGGGTCAGCCGATTGTGGTTGTTCGGTCGGAGGCAAATATCTCATGTTCCCATTATGTTGAAAACGACTCCATAGAGATGAGATCGTGTTTCGATGGAGACCAACATGTCTGGCCACTTCATTTTAGGCCCCCTCCAGTCTCCATCATCCCATTTTTCTGTAAGCCGTGGCATCTTTAGGTTGAAATTAACGTGTTTTCTACAACATGCACAGGCTAGAGAATAATAAGCCGTTCTTTAATCTAGATTTCAATATCAGGAGCGTGAACTTTACCTATATAGTGGAGGCTGGAGGTCCCAATTATGTGCTTCAATTGATTTCATTGGGTGCAAAGAGGCAAAGCAACCATGGATCACTGCAAATCAGGGATGAACCGAGGTATTTGTTAAAAGGTGAAGCTTCCTGCATGGACCCTAGCTGGATTTCCACTCCTGCCCTCCCCTCCCACCCACACACACATACATACACACGTTGTTCAAGGGAAGGTTCGTTAGCCTCTGCATATAGACTGTATACTGGAGAGGTCCTGAAAGCTCCTGGTCCTGGATAGAATCTAATTTTTCTAAATTGCTTTTGCAGACCCCACCAT